GAAGTTAGTCAGGCCGACGACTCACCAATGAGAATCATGTTCTGACATGTATGTGCAACAACAACACACGTGCAACAATGTGTAGACAATGCAGGTGAGGGACAACCCTAAACCGAACAATGCGCTGACTGATACAATAACTGTTCACAAGGTGAGAATGAGCATACCTGAGAGCATGAGAGCAGCCAGTGCGGCAGCAAATGCAAGGCCAGAGCCGCGACGTCTCATCCCAGTCATGGCTGATCCCGAGTTTATCAAAGCTACGATGACAATGAAGTTAAGCCCAAAGGTGAGCCAGGAGAGATAGAAGTGCTTGTTAGTAGGAACGATGGAAAAGAATGATGTGCTGACTGGGGATGGCTCATCCCTGAAATACTTTCTGCCCAGTCCCGCCTCCTGCCGGGTGCGCGGTTGAACTCCGCCCTTCTGCCGCCCATCCGCGGGTGTCAAAGAGTTTACTTTCTGTCATCACGTCACGTATACTCTGACGTGGCGTGCCTATGCTGCCTTGGTCTCCAACGCGGATTAGAACTTGCAACTTTGCGAGAATAGGGCCCGCAAGATAAAAAACGACTATAGTGACGATCCCAGATCTGACGTGGACTACTTCACAAATCTGACTCAGCTCCAGCATCAGAGAAAACGAGCGAGATTGGTGGGCGAGTGGTGAGTGTTATCGCTAAATACTTCCTGCCCAGTTCCGCCTCGTGCCGGATGCGGTTGAAATTCCGCCCTTCCGCCCGCCATCTGCGGGGTGCCAAAGAGATTGACTTTCTCACATCACGTCACGGTATGATGAAGCGCGCCTATGCCGCCTTGGACTAGAACTCGCAGAAAATGACACCTCGCAAGTGAACATCCCAGATCTGACGTGGATTACTTAACGAATCTGACTCATCTCCAGCATCGCAGAGTAGACGAGCGGGAATTGGTGAGCTTGTGTGGGTGTTTATCTGTACAGTTAAACACCAGTATGTGGTGTCGTGCTCACGAAAGCTTGCAACCTGGATCCCAGCGATGAAAATGAGACGAGTAAATAGTACAAGCTCCATTTCACCGCTGGAATGTGCTGCAACGCTGGCTTGCATTCCCCATACTGAGTTGCCATCCGAACCTGCATACCGTACATGCCAACATGGCATTGCGTCTGGGTCGCAGGCTCGGTCAGATGCTTGGGTGGTGGTGTGCATACGCAAGTTCCGACTGATTTCCGACGTCTGGTGTACAAAGATTCTGACTGTTCACAAAGGATATTCGGGATACTGTGTGCTTGAACTGGATAATACATACGAACAGTGAAGAAATGACGTCATCCGCGCATGATTACCCAGGCAAGCGAGCAGGAAAAGTGACGTCAGACGGCCACGCGGGCCACCCGCTCCGAAGTCCCTCCTAGTCTGAAGGTGGCCCTTGGGAGCTCCGAAGTTCCTTCAGGCCGACAACAGCCTAGGTTTCATCCGGGTTACAAATCGGCCCATTGGACCATGTGTTGCGCGGAACTCGAGGGGAACTCTGTTTCCGCGTTCGCGCAACACGTGTCACGATATGAAATGTCGTAAACAACTGAAGTGTCGGAGCATCAGTGGTCGACGACAAAATTCAGGGTCATGATCACGCAGACAGTTACGAGATGCAGTTGCAGACTCATTTTAAGCTGATCCTATGGCTATCAATTTCCGTGATAGGTGTGCGAAAGAAGATATGACGCTTTACGACCGCTGACGAGGGCGAGTAACTATTTCGTCAAGACCTTGTGTGCAGGCATCCCCGCAAAATACATTTCGTGTCAGAGAATTTCACCTTCTGCCACAGCATTCTGAGCGCCCACAGGCGTGGGAATGAAAATCCCTGATTACATTTATCGCTACAAAGAACGAGTTCACCCACGTGAAATCATTGTCAGAATGTTATTGTTCTCTAGCCTGCAGTGGGGTACTCTATAGCGAGTACAACCCCTTAGGGTTTCCTATATGTATCCTGCTGCTTTCTAGTGAACCCCCTCCTTTCTTCAATTCTCGCTTGCCTAGCTAGGGTTCTCCTAGCTATGGCTCCTCATTCCTCGCCTCTATCTCAACATGCTATCAGAGCGGTTACGTTCTTGGCCTGTGGGCCCCACTACTGCTTCCGCTGCTACTGCTACTCTGTCTGCTGCACGCCCCGTGGCGTGCGACTCCTGGGTTTTCAGCCCGCCGTGCGCCCCGAGGCGCGCGGCGGTTTTCTGCCCGCCGTGCGCCCCGAGGCGCGCGGCGGTTCTCTGCCCGCCGTGCGCCCCGAGGCGCGCGGCGGGTTTCTGCCCCGTCACTCGACGCGTCGCCCCCGGGAGGCGCTGCGACGGGCGACGGGGACCCGCGCGTCGCCCCCCGTCGCCCGTCGTGGCCTGCGCGCGGCCCGTACAGCCGGCGCGCGGCCCGTACGGGCTGCGCCAGGCCCGCGCGCGGCCCGTACGGGCTGCGCCAGGCCCGCGCGCGGCCCGTACGGGACGCGCCAGGCCCGCGCGCGGCTCGGGCCGCCTGCGCGCGGTTCGGGCGGCTGTGCCAGGCCCGTGGGCGGCCCGTTCCTCGCTGCCCCTGCCCTCCCCACTGTCCCCCGTGCTTCTACTGGCGCCCCACCCCTCCTACAGCCCGTTCTCCTGGATTAGGGTTTGGGGGTGGCGACTATGGGGGTGTCGGCTGTGACTTCCTCCACCTGCTCCTCCTCCTCTTCAGTCTCCCACTGCTGCAGCTGCCGCTGAGGGGGGTGGATGTGGGAGTGGAGCCGTCGGAGTGGTACTTGGGGGGTGACGGGGGAGTGGAGCTAGGGTGAAGCAGTGGGTCTGTGGGGGGTGTGTGGGACAGTTTCGGGAGGTTGAGCGGAGGCTGCCGTCTTGTCGTCAGCAGCACCTGTAGTCCGGGGCGCTGTCCCGGTAGCCCAGTGAGCTCGTCGCTGCGCCAGTCGCCTGTGGGTCCGTAGCTCCTGCCGCTCGTCTTAGCCGCGGAGCCAGTTACTCCTGTAGTCCGGGGCGCTGTCCCGGTAGCCACTGTGCTCGCCACTCCTGTTGCCCGTGTGTCTGCAGCTTCAGCAGCCGCCTCCTATCTCCTCTCCTCTCACAGTCCCTCCTCCTCCTCACTTGCCCGCTGTGTTAGCCTCTAGCTTTACTTATATTTCTGAACTACTTCTATGCTTGCTTGCTGTGCTGATTACACCCCACTTTGGCTAGGGGGGTGTGTCAGAATGTTATTGTTCTCTAGCCTGCAGTGGGGTACTCTATAGCGAGTACAACCCCTTAGGGTTTCCTATATGTATCCTGCTGCTTTCTAATGAACCCCCTCCTTTCTTCAATTCTCGCTTGCCTAGCTAGGGTTCTCCTAGCTATGGCTCCTCATTCCTCGCCTCTATCTCAACAATCGTCAATGTGAATGACAAAATCCGCAAAACCGTCTAAGGAACACCTCCCAGACGTGCAGACCAGCTCCCGCGTGAGAAAGAGAAAACTAGAACTTACCGTTTTCCAACCCATGCAACATACTCATCGCACGGAATCACCTGTCTGCTGCTGACACGAAAACAAAAACCCGAAAAAAAAAAAACAAAATCACTACGTTCGTGAACGCATGACCTGCGAAACAATCGGGCTACTGTACACTGTATTTGCAGGGGAACCACCGACTCTGCGGCACATTCACGTGCCAGCACGGAACTGTGCGAATTTGTACTGTAGAGTTCCAGCTCGTTTTGTATTGTTTTCGCACCCCTCGAAAGTTTCGCGCAGGAATATTCGCGCTGTTGCTGAGAGAGAGCTCAAGATAAAGATAAGCGAAAGCTATATATCCGCGAAGTCACGGGCGATATTCACCACCAAAACGAATCGTGCCATGAATTCTGGGGCAAAGGCAAGCGCATGAAGAAGTTTTCGCGGTGGTGTTTCGGTCAAAGTTTTCACCACCGACATCCGCAGCTAGTTTGCGGCAGCACAGTTCGTACATTTCATGTTCCGAAAGCAAAAGTATCGCGGGCGAAAACTGTCAAACTTATATCCTATGCTATAGTCTGTGTAGGTTGTAGTGGGGTAGACAATATGGGGTACAACACTTCTAGGTTTTCCTACTTGTACCCACCTCCTTGCTAGTTCATTCAATCCTCAATTCTCACATGGTATAGAGCAGGTTCCCTAGTGGGAACTTCCTAGGGCCCACCACTGAACATCGATTTTTTTCCTGCCCTGAGATCGAGTCGCCCTTGACTGAGGCGCGCCCTATGTGCCGCCCTCCCCTTAGCGACCCGTCGTGCCGCCCATAGCGGCCCTCCCCCTCTCTCACAGCCCCTCGCGACCCCGTCGCCATCCTCCTAGCAGATCGTCGCGCCGCCCTCAGCGGCCCCTCCTCCACGGCCCCGTCGCCGCCCTATCGCGGCCCCGTTGCCGCCCTCACGCGGCCCCGTCGCCGCCCTATCGCGGCCCTGTTGCCGCCCTATCGCGGCCCCGTTGCCGCCCTATCGCGGCCCCATCGCCGCCCTCTCGAGGCCCCGTCGCCTCCCTCTCGCGGCCCCGTCACCGCCGTTCGCGGCCCCGTCGCCGCCCGTCACGGCCCTACAGCCGCCCCTCGCGGCCTTGTCGCCGCCCTCTCGCGACCGCGTCGCCGCCCTCTAGCGGCCTCCTCGCCGCCCCTCAGCGGCCCCACTACCGCTCCTAAGCGGCCCCGTTGCCGCCCCTAAGCGGTCCCGACGCCGCCTCCTACGCGGCCTCGACGCCGCCTCTACCGAGCCGCCCAGCAGCAGAGCCGCCGAGCCGCCCGACAGCCGAGCCGCCCAGCAGCCGAGCCGCCGAGCCGCCCAGCAGCCGAGCCGCCTAGCAGCCGAGCCGCCCAGCAGCTGAGCCGCCGAGCCGTCAGCAGCCGAACCGCCGAGCCGCCCAACCGCCGAGCCGCCCATCAGCCAAGCCACTCAGCCGCTACCAGTCCTACCGACGCGCCCCGGCCCTACTTACTCGTACTGGTGAGCCCAATCCTTGCTAGACCTCTGCAGTCATGGCTACCCCCAGTGTTCTTACCTTTGACACTGAGGGCCGTGCTGTTGACTTTGAGGTCTGGGTCGATGACCTCCAGCTGTTCCTCCAGTGCGATTGGGCAGACGGCCTCTCTGTGTTCGACCTCACCTCTGGTGCCTCCCCTGCCCGTATGCTACTGCTGACAGCACTGTTCGCTCACAGTGGGCGACACGCGATGCTGCTACCCATCTTGCTGTGCGTCGCCACTTACCGACCACTGAGCGTGCACACTTTAGCCAGTGGAAGAGTGCTCAGACCTTGTACGGCGCTGTAGTTGCACGCTACTCTTCCCCTGCCACTGCTGCACTGAGCCGCCTCATGCTACCGTACCTCTTCCCTGACCTTGCTGCCTTTCCCACAGTCGCTGACCTCATTACGCACCTCCGCACTAGTGACACTCGCTACCGCGCTGCGCTTCCTGCTGAGTTCTGCGCCAAGAACCCCCCCCCCATGTACATCACCCTATACAACATAGTCACCCGGCTCCCTGACTCTCTTCGCTTAGTCAAGGACCACTTCCTCTCAGTTAGCCCCACCACTCTCACCGTTGACCTCCTCGAGGAGCGCCTCCTAGCAGCAGAGAAGAGCATAATTGCAGTAGGAGCCTCTCGTGGTGACCCTTGCACCCCCGTCTTTGAGGGGTGTTCCCCCTCCCCCCTCTCGCCCTCTGTTGCTTCTGCTGCTGCTGCCGACCTCGTTGGTTTCTACGAGGTCGGTGCTGCGTCTGCCCTTGGCGGGAGACGCTGCACCGGCAAGGGCAAGGGGGGCGAGGAGCTGGAGGGGCTAGCGGGGGCAGTGGAGGTGGTGGTGGAGGCAGTGAAGGGGGTGGGGGTGGTAGTGGGAGTGGTGGCGGGGGTGGCGGCGGCGATGGCAGCAGTGGAGGCGGCGGAGGCGGCGGTGGTGGCGGAGGGAGCGGAGGCGGCGGAGGTGGCGGAGGCGGCGGAGGTGGCGGAGGCGGCGGAGGCGGTGGCGGCGGCGGCGGTGGAGCTGGCCGCGACTCTGCGCAGAGGAGTGGGTCCGGTGGTGGTCCGCGCCAGCAGCAGCAGCGCGGTCATGAGACCCTGTCCCCTCAGCAGCTTCGTGAGTGGTACGCTGCGCGTCAGCGCGGTGGGGGTACTGGTCCCTGTACCTACGTCCTCCGTACCGGCGACCGTGCTGGTGAGCAGTGCGGGGGGCCGCACTCCACCTAGCAATGCTTTGGCCGCCTGACGGACGCGTGGCGTCACCAGTTCCCTGAGGCGTCAAAGATCCCTCGCTGGGGAGATCTGTCTAGGGCGGGGGTTGCCATCTTTGATCTTGACTATGATGCTATCCTTGCTGCCATGTATGCTGTGACTACTGGTGTTGAGGGTGATTGTTACCTGTGTGTACCGCCTGACCCGGGCATTGAGGCTACTGCTCTAGGTGCTGGTGAGGCTGCTGCTCTAGGTGCTAGTGCGTCTGGTGCCCCAGGTGCTAGTGCGTCTGCTGCCCCAGGTGCTGGTGAGTCTGCTCTCTTAGGTACTACGTCGGCTCAGGCCTTACACACCTTCACCCTTGACTCGGGTGCGTCCCGCTCCTTCTTTCGAGACCGCACCACGCTTACGCCGCTCAGGCGGCCGGTTGCAGTCTCCCTGGCGGACCCCTCTGGGGGTCTTGTCCTTGCTAGCTTCTCCATTGTCTTACCGTGCCCGGCAGCCCCCTCTGGCACCCTGTCAGGTCTCTACCTCCCCTCGTTCTCTACGAACTTGGTGAGTGGAGCGGACCTACAGGATAGGGGGGTTGACCAGTTCACTCCTGCGAGTCAGCGGGTGACCCACTGCACGTGTGCTCGGACAGACCGACACTTGGCCACGTTCACCCGTCGGCCAGGGTCGAGCCTGTACACCCTTACTACTGAGTCTCCTCCGGCTGCTGAGTCTCGCCAGGTAGCTGCGTCGAGTCAGGTGTTTGCTGCAGCGTCCAGGTCTGGTCCTGAGTCTGCTCCCTGGTCTCTCCCTCCCCTACCTCCGGGGCCTGGCCCTACCTGTGTCCCCTGCCTTTAGGGGCGACAGCGCGCCGCCCCTCACTCCTCCGAGTTTTCTCTGATAGAGGCTCCGCTGCAGACTCTCCACATGGACGTGTGGGGCCCCGCCCGCGTCTGTGGACAGGGGCACGAGCGTTACTTCCTGTTGGTGGTTGACGACTACTCGCGTTACACCACAGTCTTCCCCTTGCGCAGCAAGGGTGACGTCACTGAGGTGTTGATCGACTGGATCCGCGCAGCTCGTCTCCAGCTCAGGGAGAGTTTCGGCTCAGACTTTCCTGTTCTGCGTCTGCACTCTGACAGAGGCGGGGAGTTTTCCGCTGCCCGTCTGGGAGTCTTCTGTCGGGCACAGGGCATCGGCCAGACCTTCACGCTTCCGGCCTCTCCACAGCAAAATGGGATTGCTGAGCGCCGCATTGGCATGGTCATGGACGTCGCTCGTACGTCCATGATGCATGCGGCTGCCCCCCATTTTCTGTGGCCGTTTGCGGTTCAGTACGCAGCACATCAGCTCAACCTTAAGCCCCGGGTCTCCTTGCCAGAGACCTTTCCCACCTTGCGGTGGACAGGGAAGGTTGGCGATGCGTCTGCGTTTCGGGTCTGGGGATCTCAGGCGTTTGTCCGCGACTTGTCTGCGGACAAGGTGTCCCCCCGTGCTGTTCCCTGCGTCTTCCTTGGCTTCCCCCCTGACGCGCGTGGTTGGCAGTTTTACCACCCCACCTCGCGCAGTGTTCTGTCCTCCCAGGACGTCACCTTTGACGAGTCGGTGCCTTACTACCGTCTCTTCCCCTACCGCACTGCGCCCCTCCCCCCGCCGCCGCTCTTCCTTGCACTAGGTCCTCCCCCGGTAGACCCCCTCCCCCCTCAGGGTCCTGCCCTGTCAGGTGTGTCCCAGGTAGACGCAGTCGAGCCTGTCGAGGTAGCTGTTGACTCTGAAACTGTTAGAGCTGCTGAGCCTGCGGGTGCCGGGAATGGAGGTGCTGAGCCTGGGGGTGCTGAGCCTGGGGGTGCTGAGTCTGGGGCTGCTGAACCTGGGGGTGCTGAGTCTGGGGGTGCGGAGCCTTGGGGTGCGGAGCCTGGGGGTGCTGAGTCTGGGGGTGCTGAACCTGGGAGTGCTAAGTTTGGGGGTGCGAAGCCTTGGGTTGCAGAGCCTGGGGGCGCTGGGTCTGCTTGTGTGGCCGCCGGTGGTGCTTCGTCGAGGCGGGAGCCACTCTCTCCACAGGAGCTGCGCGAGTGGTTTGCCCGGCGCTGGAGCCGTGCTGCTGGAGTTGGAAGTACTACTGTTGCTGCTGGTCCCGGAGGTGCTCGTACTGGCGGTACTGGAGCTGCTGGGGCTGGGGGTGCTGCTGGGGCTGCTGGAGTTGGTCCTGCTGGAGCTGCTGGTGGTACTGGAGCTGCCAGTCCTGCTGGAGTAAGTGCTGCTGGAGCTGCTGGAGCTGGAGCTGCTGGAGGAGTTGGCGCTGGTGTTTCTGCTGGCGCTGGTGCGTCTAAGGGTGCTGGAGTTGGCGCTGTTGGAGCTGGAGGTGCTGATGGCGCTGGTGCTGCCGCTGGGGGTACTGGTGCTGTCCTTACTGGTTCTGGAGGCGCTGCGCAGCCGCGGCCGTACTTCGTTCCGCTCCTTGAGCAGCTTCTTGGTCTCCCGCCCTCTACTGGTCCTGCTCCTCCCTTAGAGTGTCCACAGCCTGTCCAGTTGCAGTCACAGTTACCGCCCGCCTCCCCCCTACCTGCTCCTTCTCCCTACACTGGTCCTACTGGAGGTCTTGCTGAGCGTCGTGAGCCTGCGTCTCGTCCTGCGTCGCCTGTTCGTGTTGCTCGCACTAGTCGTCGTGTTCCGCGTCCGCGTCCTCCTGCGGTCCCAGGCACACACCAGATGGCACTGCGTCCTTCCATTGCTCCTCTGCGTGTCCCGTTGCCGTCTCCTCCAGAGTCCTCTCTTCCTGTCCTTGCTGACCCGGAGTCTGACTCTCTTCGTGCTGCCAGTCCTACTGTCACGCGTCTCCTGGCCAATGTGGTCACTGACCCTTCCTTTGAGTCCACTTCTGCGTCGGCCCTAGTTGCTGAGCTTGTCGACTTTGCTGCTCGCTGTCGTCTAGACTACCCTGCTAGTCTTGTTGCTGAGTCTGAGTCTGTCTGTTCTCCGTTCGTCGGGGGTGAGTGTGCTCTTAGCACGGACGTCCTTGAGGACAGGCAGGAGGAGTTCCAGTGTTTTGTTGCTGCTTTGCCTCATCTCGTGTCCATGCTGATTGCCCCTGAGGGAGACCCGGATGCACCAGACATCACGGGTGGGAGGCAGGCTGTAACTGGGACTCGGACTGGACAGCTGCAGAAGAGACACACCTGAAGGGGCAGGACCCTGAGGGGGAAGGGGGTCTACCGGGGGGGGGACCTGGCGCGAGGAAGAGCGGCGGCGGGGGGAGGGGTGCAGTTTGGTAGGGGAAGAGACGGTTGTAAGGAAGCGACTCGTCAAACGTGACCATCTCGGAGGACAGAACACGGCGCGAGGTAGGGTGGTAAAACTGCCAACCAGGCGCGTCAGGGGGGAAGCCAAGGAAGACGCAGGGAGCAGCACGGGGGGACAGCTTGTCCGCAGACAAGTCGCGGACAAAAGCTCGAGATCCCCAGACACGGAACGCAGACGCATCACCAACCTTCCCCGTCCACAGCAAAGCTGGGGAGGTCTCCGGCATGGAGACCCGGGGCTGAAGGTTGATCTGATGTGCCGCGTACTGAACCGCGAATGACCACAGAAAATGGGGAGCAGCCGCATGGATCATGGACGTACGAGCAACGTCCATGACCATGCCAATGCGGCGCTCAGCAATCCCATTTTGTTGTGGAGAGGCTGGAAGCGTGAACGTCTGGCTGATGCCCCGTGCACGACAGAAGGCTTGCAGAAGGTCAAAGGAAAACTCTCCACCTCTGTCGGAGTGGAGACGCAGAACAAGGAAGTCCGAGCAGAAACTCTCTCTGAGCTGGAGACGATCTGCGTAGATCTAGTCAATCAACTCCTTAGTGACCTCACCCTTTGGAAGACTGTGGTGTAACACGAGTACTCGTCAACTACCAGCACAAAGTAACGCTCGAGACCCTGTCCACAGACACGGGCGGGGCCCCACACGTCCAGGTGAAGCGTCTGCAGTGGAGCCTCTGTCGGAGGAAACTCGGAGCAGTGAGGAGTGGCGCGCTGCCGCCCCTCGACGCAGGGAACGCAGGTAGGGGCAGGCCCCGGGAGAAGAGGAGGGAGGGACCGGGGGAGACCAGAGACAAGGACACGGGAGGCCATGCCTCGGAGACGAGGCAGGGAGGGGTGACCAAGGCGGTGGTGCCAGAGGAGAGTCTGGTGAGACAGGAGACGACACGAGCAGGGGGGCAGACTCAGGACCAGACCTGGACGCTGCAGCAAACACCTGACCCGACGCAGCTACCTGACCAGACGCAACAACCGGAGGAGACTCAGTAGTCAGTGTGTACAGGCTCAACCCCGGCTGACGGGTAAATGTGGCCAAGTGTCAGCTCGTCTGAGCACACGTACAGTGGATCACTTGCTGACTCGCAGGAGTGAACTGGTCAACCCCCCTATCCTGTAGGTCAGCACCACTCACCAAGTTCGTAGAAAACGAGGGGAGGTAAAGACCTGACAGGGTGCCAGAAGGGGCCGCCGAACACGGTAAGACAATGGAGAAGTGGGCAAAGAGAGGACCCCCATAGGGGCCTACCAGGGAGACTGCAACCGGCCGACTAAGCGGCGTGAGTGTGGTGCGGTCGCGAAAGAAGGAGGGGGAAGCACCCGAGTCAAGGGTGAAGGTGTGCAAAACTTGAGCCGACGTGGTGCCTGAGAGAGCAGACTCACCAGTACCTGGGGCAGCAGACTCACCAGCACCTGGAGCAGGAGACGCACTAGCACCTAGAGCAGCAGCCTCACCAGCACCTAGAGCAGCAGCCGCAATGCCCGGATCAGGCGGAACACACAGGTAACAGTCACCCTCATCACTAGTAGGCAACGCATACATGGCAGTGAGGATCGCATCATAGTTAAGAGCATAGATATCTACCCTATGCCCAAGCAGCTCCACCCATTCGGGGAGCTCAGCTGCGTCGCCAAACTCCGTACGCCACGCGTCGCTTAGACGGGCAAAGCAGCGGGACTCTGTGTGACCAAACGTCCCGCAAGGCTGACTAATCCGAGCACTAGTGCTAATGACGTACGGACAGCGAGCAGTACTCCGTGACCCTCCACGCTGAGCGTACCATTCACGAAGCTGTTGGGGCGAAAGGACCGCGCGCGGACGACGCTGCAGCTGCACCTGGCCACTACAAGCAACTCCCGAACTTCTCACTCCAGGATGACTCCCACTACGGCCACCCCGACAACCCCATGTAGCGTACCACTCACGAAGCTGCTGCGGCGTGAGAGACTAACGCGAACGTCGCTCGAGCTGCATCTGGACACCGCCAGGAGCAGCAGGAGCAGTGGAAGCCGTAGTAGCAGCAGTAGCAGTAGTAGTAGCAGGAGCAGTAGTCGCAGCGCGGCCACCCCTACAACCCCAACTAGCGTACCACTCACGAAGCTGTTGGGGGGCGAGGGACTCACGCGGATGGCGCTGGAGCTGCATCTGGCCACGCCAGGAGTAGCAGTAGCAGTAGAAAGAGCAGTAGCAGCAAGAGCAGCAGTAACAGCAGTACGAGCAGGGCAGTGCAGTGGCTAGAAGGGCAGGCGTACGACGACGGCAACGGTGAGGCCGCTACCACTGCAGGGCAAGGGCTCCGCGGCAGCTGCAGGGGCGGCTGCTCCAGGGGCGGCTGCTGCAGTGGCGGCTGCTCCAGGGGCGGTTGTTGCAGGGGCAGCTGTTCCAGGGGCGGCTGCTGCAGAGGCGGCTGCTCCAGGGGCGGGTGATGCATGGGCGGCTGCTCCAGGGGCGGCTGCTGTAGGGGCGGCTGCTCCAGGGGCGGCTGCTGCAGTGGCGGCTACTCCAGGGGCGGCTGCTGTAGGGGCGGCTGCTCCTGGGGCGGCTGCTGCAGGGGCGGCTGCTCCAGGGGCGGCTGCTGCAGGGGCGGCTGCTGTAGGGGCGGCTGCTCCAGGAGTGGCTGCTGAAGGGGCGGCTGCTCCAGGGGTGGCTGTTGTAGTGGCGGCTTCTACAGGGGCGGCTGCTGCAGGGGCGGCTGCTCCAGGGGCGGCTGCTGCAGTGGCGGCTACTCCTGGGGCGGTTGCTGCAGGGGCGGCTGCTCTAGGGGCGGCTGCTGCAGGGGCGGCTGCTGCAGAGGCGGCTGCTCCAGGGGCGGCTGCTCCAGGGGCGGCTGCTCCAGAGGCGGCTACTGCAGGGGCGGCTGCTCCAGGGGCGGCTGCTGCAGTGGCGGCTGCTCCAGGGGCGGCTGCTGCAGGGGCGGCTGCTCCAGGGGCGGCTGCTGCATGGGCGGCTGCTCCAGGGGCGGCTGCTGCAGTGGCAGCTCCTCCAGGGGCGGCTGCTGCAGGGGCGGCTGCTCGAAGGGCGGCTGCTGCAGTGGCGGCTGCTCCAAGGGCTAGGGGCGGCCGACTGAAGGTCGGGCGCGGGTTAGGGCAAGGCGCCGCGGCGGGCAGGGGCGACGCCACGCGGGTCCCGCAGGGGCGTCGCGACGCGCAGGAGCCGCGCCTCGCGGGTCCCGCAGGGGCGTCGCGACGAGGCAGGGGCAACGCGCGGGTCCCGCTGAGGCGTCGCGATGAGGCAGGGGCGACAGGGCGGGGCCGTGACTGGCAACGGGGTGGGACTGCGGATATAAGTAGTGCAACGGGAGCTAGACTACAGGCTAGGCACGGGGCAAGAGTGATCGTAGCGTTCGTTTGTTCCTTAGTCTTTTCCAAGTCATAACACTGCTTGCTAGTTGACGGGGAAAATCGGCAAGAGTTTCACTAGGAAAACATGAC